CTCTTCAGAGGGGGGGATGTTGAGGGGAGGGAGTGGGCATGGATTTGATCAAAACATCTTATGCATGTATGAAATTCTCAAATTATTATTTTTTTAAAGTTGTTTTCCTATTTTAACTGCCATTTTATGATCTTTCTCACAAGTAGGAGGTTTTGGAACTTCTGACCGATTTGTCTTCCTTGCAACAGTAATGTGTGAAGCCAAAAGGATTTGGCTTTGTGCTGAGGGTACCTCGCCTGTTTGCTGGACTGGCTGAAGCAGAAAACTGTGGCCTTTCCTTGTGGTAGGGCAGAAATAAACAGAAGCACTAGTGTATTTGGTTATTGGTAAGTTTATGCAAGTTTTGAGATTTAAATCATGTCTCTGGTGTGCTGGCCTCCTGGGTGCCCACATGAGGCTGTGGAGAAGGGTGCTGCTGAACGCTCCCTGGGCCTGGCAGGCCTCACTGAGCTTGGCAGTGGTGTCTCCCATCTGCTTGAAGGCAAGATGCTCCTGTTGCTTGATTCCAACAGTCAGCATCCCTGGACTGCTGCATTCTTGACAGGGATGGTCAGCAGTGCAGGACTGATGCAGTAAAAGGATCAGGCTGCCTGTCATCTGGTGACAAGGAGTTCCTGAAATTGCATCCAGTTAAAGAGTACATCAAAGAAACCCGGGGTTAGTGGAGCACACCTTTAATCCCAGCACTCAGGAGGCAGAGGCAGAGGCAGGCAGATCTCTGTGAGTTCAAGGTCAGCCTGGTCTACATAGTTCAAGGCCAGTTGGGGCTCCAGGGAGACCCTGTTTCAAAACCAACAACAAAAAAAAATTGCATCAAAGAAAGCTGGTGACGGTGTCACCTCACCTGCCCTGCTCAGTTGGTTTAAACTGCTGCCTGCTGTTTTAATGCTGGGAAGGGTGCAGTGGGTAGAGGCTGCCTGCATGCAGGATCCCTGGCCATTTCCTGTCAACCTGATTGACATGGCCATGTCAGCTCAGGAAGGCAGCAGTGGCAGGTATGTGTGGTCAGCCCCTTAGCCTTTGGGCCAACTCTGCTCTATGCGGAATGGAAAAGGGCAACAAACTGTAAGTTTCCTCATCTCCCACCCGTCTCCTGGTTCTTGGGGAGCGGGGAGGGTTGTCTCTTGGATGATCTTCCTGTTTTATTTGCTAAGTGGAACCTAAGTGTCATGTCTTGTCAGTAGGGCAAAGTAGATCCTATTTTGAATTCATAAAATCATTTACATCTAGGTATCTGGTGTACTTTGGGTATAAGATGGTCATGTAAGAGTGAACTGTGCAAGTTTATGGCAGTACATTTCACGTTTTCATGATGTCTTCTCAGTCCTGTTTGCTCTCAGGGACCTGGTGGTATTTCCTAAATGACAAGATTATAAAGACATGATTGGCCCTACTTCATCGGGAACTGGTGTCAGGAAGGAAAACAATTTCTCGAGACAATGCACCTTAAAACTAGACTTAAATAACTGCATGGAAAATAACACTTGGCCACACACAGCAATATCTCCTCTGTTGGAGTCTTAATCCCCTTTACCCCCAGCCTCCAACTGTGTTTCTCCGAATTGGTTTACATTTATTGGAAGTCGTCTTTTTTTTTTTCTTTAATGAAAGGTGTTAAAATTGGGTAAAATAAATGAATGTTGAATCAAACCTAAGAAATATTGCGTTAAACAGATTCTGCCATTAAGTCCTTGTGTTAATGCCACACATGAATGTCTGTGTGTGTGTGCATGTGTGTAATATTCCTTTTATGAAGCACTGCTTCTGCTTAGGTATTTCCCATTGTTTCAAGGTGTAAAGACAACGGCACTGCTGAAATGGTGTTCTTAAGGTTCCAAGCAGTGGCCTTAGTCGCCTTTGTGAAGACAAGGTGGTTGGTGGCCGTCTGCTGTGACTTGGATACTGCTCGTTTTCTTGTACCGTTTACTCTTACAGCTCCCAAGTACTAGTCACAAATTTACCAGTGAAGACATCTAGCTAGCACCTGGCATTTCTGTGACGTTAAGATGTGCTTTCCCCCTCCCACATTTTGCTGCCTATTTTTTCTTAACGGTTTATAAAATGCTGGTGAGTCCTGGGTGAAATGGCAGTCGGAACCCCTTGTTTGGTCATTTGTAGATTCAGGTCTCGGTCATTTGCAAAGTCCCAGTAAGCAAAGAGATTTGGCAAGAGAAAGCCAGTTCTGTTTTCGTTGGGGACACCTCTTTTCACTGTTTACTCTTCAAAAACTTAGAGTGGACCAGAAATTGACATTTTCTTTGTGAATAGTTGTTTTATTCATATTTAAAAATTTAGGGGTGAAAAAGACATTTCCAACAGCAGGTACAAGTTTTATTTTATTCTGTTTTCTGTCAAACTCAATTTTTCATTCTAGATCTTTGGTTTAGAGAATATCTAAATGTGAGGGGAAGAAAGAGGAGCCCCGGTCAGGCAAGCTGCACAGGAAGCAAAGACAGAACATCAGTTCCAACTCAAAGTTCACAACGTACAAAGAATTTATTTATGTAATACAGACCTTTTCTGAAATATATTTCACAGAATTCCAAACAGCAATCTACTAGAAAAAGTAGAATTATACAACACCAAAATAACATTGTTTTGTAGTACAAACTGCTAATCAAAAGGAAGGTAGAGAGAGTTTAATAACAAGTAGAAGGTAAGACGGGTGTTGCTGAACACAGCACCTGATGGCCTCTGATCTGAAACCCAGGATGGAGTAGAAAGGGGGGGAGGTGCCCCAATCTCCACTGTGCCTCACAGGCGACCCTGGGCAGGCTTTGGTACTTAATGTTTACTTTTAAAGAAAAGCAAAGTTTGTGAAGCCAAGAGCATTTCCATCATTTCACTTTGTTGTGCTATGAGGGTTACAGAGCAGGAAAGACAGTAACTATTTCACACTTGCTATAACTTAGATCTTTGTTGTTTACCACACAATAAAATAAAATAACCTTCCCCAAACCATAATTTTCTAGGTCTAACACATGCCCAAACAATAATAATATAGAAATAATTCGCTGAGATGTTTTAAAGCACATTTGTCATAATTTAAACATTACTATTAAAATCCTAGAAATTTCAGCACTGAAGAAGCACAATTGTCTGGAAAAATACAGGACCCAGTATAGCACAAAGTTCCCCCGTCCCAGTATTATAGCCCATTTCCCTATTGCTAAAATCATATTTCTCAAGATTACAGGTAAATGGGAAATGGTTTTTCACAATATAGCTAGAATTAGTGGGCTTATTTGCTCCACTGTGTGTATCCATAATTGGTGAAAATAGACTTCTCATTATGACTAAAAATATAGATTTTTTTTCAAACTAGAGAAACCAGCAATCAGTTTCCAGCTTTGCTGTTCCCCAACCCCCAAATGTCAAGCAAAGTCTACAAAAATAGCAATTAACTTTAAAAAATATTTTGCTTCTTCAAGCAAATTTAAGTTACATTCAGATGTGATAGCTGTTTCTATAGAATGATGTTCAGGGTCCTTCTGTGCCCAGCCTGGGGCAGACCAGGGTGCAGTCGTCTCCATCAGTAGCGGGTTTGGTACTCATGATGCCAGCGGTTAAAGTCATTGTAAAACAGAACAATGCTTCCCGAAGCCATGCCAGAAATGACGCACCTGGGAGAAGGATGCAGAGAAGGAGGGGTTTACAGAACTGGATTTCCTAGGGATTAGTACACAAAAATGAAGGACCTGCCTTCCCCAAGTCCATGAGGTAGACAGAGTGCTGCCGTTGCCTCCCTGCTTCTCTGTGCTGACCCTGAGGAGACACTTCCAAAAGACCTCACCTCTGAAGTGAGGGGTGCTGGTCTTTATTGGTCACAGCTGAGTATTCAGTTCCAGCTAGTCAGCATCCACTGTACAAGCAAAGCAAAGCTTTCACTTCCACAGATTCTTAATCACACATCACACAAATGGCCCTGACAGTCTTTCCTTCCTCTGAAATGTCACGAGCCAGGCCTCCATTGCTGCCTTTCTCGCAGCTTGCTTATCTTTCAAGCTCCCACAGAACAGCACATGAAACTCTGAGCACCCAGTGGCTTTTCCAGTCCAAAGTCACACAATCCTCCAGGTCCATCCCAACCTTTTGTAGCTATAGAATACATATACTAGAAAAAAAATCTTAACCTAACTTTGTACCAATTATCTAGAAAAGAGCAAACTGAACCCAAAATTAGAGTATTCAAAGAAAACAAAACCACAGAAAGTTAACCAGATCAGAAATCTGTTCCCTGTTAAGATGAATAAAGCTGACAATACTTTAGCTAAACTGAGAAAAATAAACTAAGAAAGAAAAGTTGGGGTGATTACTATAGATGTTCCAGAAACAACAGAAGAGATTATTATTACGCCAGTAAATTAAATGGCCCAGATAAGGTGATTTTTTGGGAGGGGGTTTGACACAGGGTCTCACTATGTAGTACTGACCTGAGACTCCGAGAGCTCTGCCTGCCTCTGTCTCCTGAGTGCTGAGATAAATGGTGTGTACCACTGGCTTTCTACCACAGATTTAAAGGAATACCATGGTCCCTTTCAAATTCTTACCAAAAAACCGAGTAAGAGTAAATACTTCCTAACTCAATGAATAGCATTTTCTGGACACCAAAGTCAGCAAAAGATACTACATTATACATTATAGACTAACACCTTAGACAGATATTAGGTGCAAATTACTAGCAAACTAAATTCTCTAGCATCTTAAAGGGATTGATTATAGACTGTGACTGTGAGATTTTTCTCTGGACAAAAGAAAGGTTCAATGTGTAAAAACTGATACACAATAGAATATTCATTAATAACCCCAAAACCCACATGTGTAGGTCAATTGATACAGACAAATTTCAACATCATTTTACTATTAAAACAAAGTAGAGATAGAAATAAATGACTTCAAACGATACAGCATTCATGAAAAACAGCTAACAATCCTGTCAAATGCAAAAAGACAGTGTTTACCCCATCAAGACAAGATAAAGGTTTCACTGTTACAGCCTTTACTCAGTTTAGTACTTGAGGTCCCAGACATAGCAACTAGGCAAGAGACAAAGCATTTACATTGGAAAAAGAAAATGTCTGTCATAAGCTACTTGTAGGAAATCCAAAAGAGTCTACATATAAAACTGTTAGGGCTTAAAAATGAATTTGGGAAACTTGCAAGTACTCAGTAACACAAAAAGCACTTGCTTCCCCCCTCCAACTGGGTCTCACTTCTGTACCCCAGGTTGGCCTTGAATTCACTATTCTCCTGCCTCAACCGATGGAGTGCTGGGGTTACAGACATACATCATGATGCCCCCCAACATTTTATACACTAACAATCCAAAAGAGAAACTAAGAACAGTTAACATACAATAAAATCAAAATGAACAAAAAACTTAGGAGTTAACATTTAGCCGAGGAGACAGAAGACATTCTGAAAGCTACGAAACACTGGGAGAATTTGGAGGCATATCCCAGGTTCATGGATCAGAGGACTTAAAACTGTTATGATGCCAATATCCCAAAGTGATCAATGATTCCTGCTGCAATCCCTGTCAAAATGAAGTCTTCTGAAATGGAAAACCCATCCTAAAATTTACATGTAACTTCAGTGAACACCAAATGGCCCAGAAAAATCCAGGAAAAAAGTTTGAGGTCTTTTTTTTTTTTTTTTTAATTTTAACCTTACTGCAAACAGTGTCATGCTGACATAAACAGAGATAAAGACTAACAAAATAGAGGATCAAGTAACTTCTGACAGGATGCCAAGACCATTCTGTAGGGAAAAGACGTTCTTTTCAACAATGGTGCTGGGAACTAGATGTGTACATGCAGAAGGACCTGTACCTACTATTATATGTAGAACTAACTTAGAGCAAAAATGTAAGCAAAACTACAGGTAGAAGGAAACGGGAAAGGCCCATGGCCTTGGGTATTTGCAGAATTGTGTGTGTGTGTGTGTGAGGCAGGGTCACCCTGTAGCCCCAGCTGGCCTTGAACTCACAGAAATCCACCTGCCTCTGCCTCCTGAGTGCTGGGACTAAAGGCATGTGCCACCATGTCCAGCATATATATTTTTTTTTAATTAAATGTGTATGAGAGTGTTGCCTGCATGTGTGTAAGTGCATCCGTGTTGTGCAGTGCCCGTGGAGGACAGAAGAGGGTGCTGGATCCCTTGGAACTGAGTTATAGGCAGTTGTTAGTTGCCAGGTGGGTCTGGGATTTGAACCCAGGTCTTCTGCAAGAATAATCAGTGCTTCTTAACCACTGAGCCTTCTCTCTAGCCCTGGTATTTGCAGACTTCTTACATCAAAAGCACAAACAACAAGAGAAAGATAAATTGTAGTTCATAAAAACTATATATTGAAGGATCCTGGGGAGAGTGAAAGACAACATCCCTAGTCATTAGGTGAATTTACAAGAAACCAGAATGAGAGAGCACTTCATATCTACTAGAGAGCCACTATCAAACAATGAGTCAGGATGTGGAGAAATTGGAACCCTGTGCATTGCTGGTAAGAATGTATAAATGCCATAGCCATGTAGAACAGTTCAGGAATTCTTTTTTTTAAATTTTATTTATTGCTTTTATTTTACGTTTATGTATGTATTGCCTGCATGTAGGTAAGTGCACCTGTGTTGTGCAGCGCCCGCATAAGACAGAAGAGGCTGTTGGATCCCCTGGAATTGGAGTTATGGACAGTTGTTAGCTGCCATGTGGGTGCTGGGATTTGAACCTAGGTCTTCTGCAAGAACAAGCAGTGTTCTTAACCACTGAGCCATCTCTCCAGCCCCCCAGTTCAGGGATTCTTAAAGACATTAATAATAGAGTTACTACAAGACCCTCCAGGAGTACCTGGGTATACCCCTAGAAAAATTATAAAGAAGGACTTACCTGGGCCTTATAAATGACTGTTCACATTAGATCATTCACAGGTCAAAGCAACCCAAGGTGTTCATAGACAGATGAACATAGGTAGAGAACATGGCATATCCATATCACAAACCATCTATCCTAAGAAATGATACTCTGATGCACACTAACATGGAACCTTGGAAACATGCTAAGTGAAATAAGCCAAATATAAAAAGACAAATATCATATAAGTTTCCATGTACAAGAGGGACCTGGAAAGGGCAAATTCATAGAAAGAAAAATAGAACGGACCTGAACTGGGGGAGGCAGAATCAACTGAATAGGTAGTTTTGAATGACAGAAGGTTCCGTACAGGATGGCAGTGATAGTTACACATTGTAAATGCATTTAATATAGCAAAATTGTATATTAAAGGGTTTAAATGGTAAATTGTATACATATGTTGCCATAACAAAAATTAGGAGCTAAAATAAATGGCTCTTGGGGCTGGAGAGATGGCTCAGCGGTTAAGAACACTGGTTGTTCTTGCAGAAGACCCAGGTTTGAATCCCAGCACCCACATGGCAGCTAACAACTGTCCGTAACTCCAGTCCCAGGGGATCCAACAGCCTCTTCTGACTTCTGTGGGCATTGCACGACATGGGTGCACTGACCTACATGCAGGCAACACACGCATACACGTAAAATAAAAATTTAAAAAAAAGAAACTTAAAAAAAAATAAAATAAATAAATGGCTCTTATATAGTTTAAGTTGCTGGAAAAGACTGCCCTTCCTAAATGTACAACTTGGGAGGTTTTAAGACATTAAGTCACCTCTCTCTAGAGGCAGAGATAAAGGTGTTTTATTTATACATATTTATAGTTCTTAAAATTCTGTTTATTAATAAAAGTGCTTTAAAGAAATATAAAAAGCTGGAGTTGAGGAGATGGCTCAGTGGGTAAAGTATCTGTCACGCAGTGTGAAGACCAGAGTTTGGATCCCCAGCACCCATGGAAATGCTGGCATGTGGGTTTCAGCACCTGTAATCCCAGAAGTCATGAGGCAGAGATGGGATTCCTAGAGCAAGTCAACTAGCTAGATTAGGAGAGCTGGCAGGCTCTGGGTTTCTGTCAATACATGTGAGTACGCACATACACAAATACATCAGAAGCTTTACAGCTGTTTTTGGAGCTTTCACTGCTTAAATCCTGTCTATTCTTTCAGAATTCAGTTTTGTTTAAGAGGTGACAGAAATATTTTTTAAAACTGCTTGGAGCCCCAGGTGTGGTGGCGCACACCTTTAATCCTAGCCCTCAGGTGGAAGAGGCAGGCGGATCTCTGTGAGTTCAAAGCCAACCTTGTCTACATAGCAAGTTCCAGGCCAGATGGAGCTACTGGGAAATGTTGTCTTTTCAAAAGAGAAAAAATGTGTGTGTGTGTGTGTGTGTGTGTGTGTGTGTGTGTGTGTAAGTGTGTGTGTGTAAACTCGTCACTTGTCAGCTGACTGTGCGGATGTCCCACACCTCCCCTAACCCTAGCTCCAATTAAAGTGTTCCCTCCTACATTTTTAATGCTACTTCTGGTAGTAGAATGACTCCACTGTTACTTACCTCTGGTCAAAAGACAGGGCCATGGCCCGGATCCCAGCATCACAGCCTGGATAGGCAAAGAGCTGCTTGAGGTCAGACACCTGCCACACCATCACCACACCGTTGTCCCCTCCTGTGAGCAGGTACTGTCCATCTCGGCTCAGCTGCATGGCCTGTGAGACAGACACACAGTCAGTGGAGACTTGGTTCTAGGAAAGACCCTTCCTACCGGGCTCTGCTGCAGCTACAACTGCAGTCCAGGGGTGTGGGAGAAGTCAGCATGAGGTGGTGGGAGCCTAATACCTTAGTTCTTATGACACTGAAGGTCTGCCATTTTCCAGAAGTCAAATGGACAAGGTTTGGCATTGCTACCCACTGGGTTGTGCACAGGTTTTGCTCCTCAAACTAGTGCTTTTGGGAATGAAGTGGCAAACTCAGTTTTACAAATGCTTCCTGAGATGGGGTGGGGGGGCTGTGGGTGGGCTCGGCACTCTGAGTTTCCCAGCAGCTCTTCTACTGTGTATGCATGTGCCGAGCAGTTTATAACTGTGCCTTGGCAGAAAGGGCCCAAAATGCAAGCCACTGTCTGCTTTTCCCCAGCGCCCCACCCTGGGGGTGAGGTAGGGGCACAAGGCAGCTCTGTACCTTCTCCAGGTCTGCTGGATTTCTGCAGCTGTGAGCCACCACTTCCTAGGCAGTTAAGACCCAGGCTGCCAGCACTGTAGCCAGCCTTCTGTTGAGTCTAGGCTGTGACCTGTCTCCTATTCCTGCTGAATAGGCAGGGTAGCCTTGGGATCTGTTATTTGATTCCATAAAAGCCTGTGGGCCAAATACAAATTACCTGCTTCTTGATCTTGGGAATAGTTTCACTTTTTAAAAAATTTTATTTTAATTTTATGTGTATGCATGTAGGTAAGTGCAACCGTGTTGTGCAATGCCAGCGGAGGTCAGAAGAGGCTGTTGAATCCCCTGGGACTAGAGTTATGGACAGTTGTTAGCTGCCATGTGGGTGCTGGGATTCAAACCCGGGTCTTCTGCAAGAATAACCAGTGTTCTTAACTGCTGAGCCATCTCTCCAGCCCCTATTTTCACTTTTTTTTTTTTTTTTTAAGGCAAGCTCTCATGTAACACAAACTCTCCTTAAACTAACTATATAGCTGAGGATGACCTTGAACTTCTGATCCTCCCATCTTCATATCCTGAATACTAGGATTACAGGCAAGCACCAGCACATCCTGTTCATGCAATGCTGGGAATTGAACTCAGGTCTTGGACATGGAAGGCAGGCAAGCAATCAGCTGAGCTATATTCCCAGCCCTATTTTTTACTGGTGGAGAAAAAAATTTCGATGTCATATCAAAATTATGATTCTAAGTCTGAATGCCCATAAATAAGGTTTTGTCAGGCTTTAGCCACACTGCTTTGTCTATGGCCACTTTCAGGACGGATAAACATAGAGCCCTCAAAGCTTAAATAGGTGCTCTCTCTCCTTACAGAAGTGTATGCACACCATGATAAAAGGCCCGTCTCTCCTGCCACAGCCATTCTGCCTGCCTCCTGCAGCTGCCCTGGGCACTTCTCCCTTCCTCAGCCCACTATTTCTGTAGCTGAGGCAGAAGGTTCTAACAGCTCTGGCAAGCAGCTGCATGCCTTCTTGGCCACAGTGGTCATGGGTCCTTCACTTAAGAGTTTTAGTATAACTGCCTTAAATCTTTCTTCTTTGACAAATTTATGACAAACTTTAGAAAAGCAAGGAGCGCTGCCTGCTGCTCAGTTCACTCAGGCCAACTGTGTGTAGTTTATTCTCAGAACAAAAATACATCTCAGAAATAAAGCATGGAACACACCTTATACAAAGGTGCCTGTAACTGACTATTTTAAACAATTTTAAATACTTTTTATTTTATGTTTGAGTGTTTTATGTGCATGTATGTAAGTGCACCCATGTCACTGCAATGCCTATACAGGTCAGAAGAGGGCGTCAGATCCCCTGGAACTGGAGTTATGGATGGCTGTTAGCTGCCATGTGGTGCAGGAAACTAAACCTGAGTTTCCTGAACCACTGAGCCATCTCTCCAGCCCCCTGCAACTAAGTTTTATTAACTAAATACATATTAAGATTTTTCAATATGAGTAAAAAGCAGTCTCTCCCCTTCCGTTCATCTCACAAAGGGCACTTGGGACCTGCAGTGAAGACCAGGACAATAATCATGTCTACACTTAAAATGAAGGTGATGAAAATCCATGAACTTCATGGTTATGATTCCCTTGAACTTCATACTTGAAGCTTTTTATTGGGTAAGTGCTATATTAGAACATAAATCAAAACCAGCAATCTTCAGTTCTTTGTTCTAGTAAGAATCTCTGATCTTAGTCGTTTGGAATGAAATAAAACTAAGACACTTGTTCCTTTGTCCTCTTCAATAAACATTTTAATAAACCAGGGACCTCCGAAGGTAAAGAGTACTTTTCTGACCTCTAATAAGGAATTGTTAGCCTCCTCTGGCACAAAATCCAGCGCAATGAGCTGGCTGACGCTGACCTTCCACCACAGTACTGCTGTCTGACTCTTACGCTAACCCCTCTCCTCACTATCCAGGTCATGTTGTGGCTAGAGATTTGAAGAGGCTCTGGAAACGTGCTGACTCATCCTCTGGATCCCAAGTGCTTTGGAGGGTACCTGCTGTACTGGTACCTGAGGATACTAACAGGCCACAGGGGATGCCCACAACCTAAAGCACAGCCCTGAGAAAAGAAAAAAAATGAGTTCTCTATGGGGGAAATGGTGGTTATCCTTTGTTTAAGATGAAATAACTGCTGCTTAATTTAAGCTATTCAGTATGACACCTACACACTGGCTAACAGCTTATCACAGTGGGTCAACCAAAGTGCCACTGAGCAATTTGACACCTAAACAAAACAGGTGGGAACCCCTGACTAGTACAGAAGGTGCCAGGCTGCCTGGTATTTCAAAGAAACCTAGTTTTGTCCATGCCCTCCTTAGGGGCTCAGGTCCAGTGTTCCTTATGCAAAGTCTAGGTTCCCAGCTTGCAGTTTCCTAGCCTGCCTCCTGAGGCAGTTCGCTGGGAAAGCGGCAGTCTCTGGAGCCAGGGGAAGGAGTGCTCATGTTAGGTTAGCTCACTTCAATCACATGGTTGCCACTTACAAGTTAGTATGATGAAGTGCAGGCATGCTGGGGAAAAGCAATGGATTGTTTAGGCCTAAAATCCAGTGGGAAATATCACAGAGGGAAAAAAAACATGGCTGCAGGGTACAAGGGAGAGGCCTGTATGTGTGAACAGGCCACCAGAGCCTCCCTGCTGCTGCCTTGAGGCCCTTCCTAGGGCCTCTGGCCTAACTGAAATGCCATGGAAACTGTTTCAGCCAGTGAGCGGTTTCAATTATTTTACAGATTTATTAGTGTAGCTGACAATATAATCGCAGCTCAAAGTGACAGATTATCAACATTATTATTGTATAGAAAAGAGGAAAGGAAAATCCTCTGATGTGTACTTGGCTTAAATGAAGTATTATGGGAAAGAAGGGAGAAATAAAAGCAGAGTGTGTCTGTGCATCTGAGTTGGAGGCAACTCACAGGCAGCCAACAAGAGAAGCAGCAGCTGAATTGAGAAATTGGGGCTCCAGAGCGGCCAGGGTCTCTGGTTTTGGAGCACTGGAGCCTGGGTATAGAGCTTCCGTTGCTCTTGCTCAGACCTTGCAGTTTACTTGGGATCTCTCACTAAGCCTAGGAACTGGGAGAACTGGGGCCATCTACACTACCCAGGGCTATAAGCAATGAACGCAATGTGCAGAAGCACTCTGCACTGCCTCTGAGGGCAGAGGCGTCTGGCACCCCTGCTGCTCCAACATGTCTTGGTTCCCTTGGACACAGGTCATCTGCTCCTCTGCCCGTTTTTGGAGAACACCACCACCACAACTTCATTTCCCCTAACCCTGCACAGCAGCCTGGAGGTGAGAAGGGAGGACCTAAAAAAAAAAAGACGGCTCATGAGAGAGCACCCTAACCCTTTTCCTCAGCCTCTAACAGTTTGGAGCCTGTCCCGAAAATGAAGCAGGACTCCGAAGGTCACCATTTCTCATACACCAAGAGGGAGAAACTGGCTGCCACCATCATCCAAAGCCAGCTCTCGAATGTGACTTGTTTTGGTCTTCCTCTCTAGCTCCAAGAATTCATTATGTCTCTAGGTGCCACCTTCTCAAAGGTAAAGGGAAACCAGTTTTAGGTCTAAAATTCTAGCTTTGATAGAAAACAACAGTGATTAGTAAATCATAAAGAAAAAGAAAAGCACTGTAGTACTGTAGAAAACCAGGTACTTAAAGGACGTAAAGGATGGTCTTACAAGCTGACAGAACACCTACAGAAGCCCATATGCTTCACTGTGACCAAAGGGTACATCCTGACATGGCCCACAGCTGACCTGGTCCATGAAGTCTCATCCAAGTGCTACCTGATGGTGCTTCTTTGGTGTAGGGACGAAGCCAAACCAGGGTCTTTAGTAACTCTGTCTCCCTTGCTAGCCATGCTTCCCAGCACAGTGGACAATGCTTGAGAGTCTGCCAGACACTCACCCTAATGTGATCATCCGTTTCCACAGTGGCCTGCAGTTTTCCATTCACACTGAAGGTGCAGAAGCAGCCATTTTCATAGAAGATGACACAATGGCCCTCTCTTGAAGCCTGGATGAGTTTTGGTTTCAGGCAGTTTTCAGGACCCTCCAAGGTCCTTAACAAGTCTCCATTCATGGAATGTATGAGACATGGTCCTTCTGAGAACACAGGAGCAAAAGGAGAATTAATCACGTAATGAAAACAGGGTTGGTGGTGTGACTTTCTGAGAGAGCACTTGTCCCAAGTATGAGGCTCTGGGTTCAATCCCAGTTTCAGTGAAGGCTAGGACCTGAATCTTGAGCACAGATCAAATGGGCTACAGTATCACATTTCAGTTATACAAAGCCTTCAACAGCTGTCATGTGTCAGTTACTTTGCAAAGTCCTATCCTCCCGTTTGCCGGCTCTTCCCCTTCCACTGAGAGGGCAGAGAAGTTATACTAGCTCACTTTTCCTCACAGACAGGAATTTACTCCACAAAATTCATCATGCCTAGAGCTGAGACAAATTGCAATAGGAACTGGACAAATTCCAAAAGGAAAAAGACAATCTTCCAACCCCAGAGCAGCCCCCAGGGAGGCCAAGATGTAAACACTGCTGCTGCCAGGCTCACGGTGCCCCTCCCTGCACTGCGCAGCCCCAAGAGAGCAGTGCGGACCCACCTGCCAGGCCAGCGTCCCCTAGCACTGCTCACAGCTTCAGTTTGAAACACTAGCACCTGACCCCCAAATTCACACCAGGACCCTTCTGCTACTTCAGGCCAACTGGGTGGGCTGACTTCCCAGAAGGAAGCAACAGTTTCTAGCCCTCTTAAGCTCCCCAGGGACACCCAGGCTGAGACTCTGAGGAGGACAGGAGCTGCTGGATGCTCTGCATGCCTCAGAGCCTGTCTCTACTGCGCATCATGTGCAAAGTAAAGTAACAAAAACTGTGGTGAGTTTGGAAATAAGGTGGGACTGTGGTCTGTGTCCTCCTTCTCTCCTGGCTACAAGGAATCACTGGCGACTCCCCACATGGCTATGGACAACATACCTTCCAAATGAGAGCTCAGCTTTTGCTGGGCCATCAAAGTGTTAAACTTTCTTGGTGTTCTCCAACATAAATACCACAGGCAAATCTTTGCTTTTACACACTTCTGGCATACATGGACTTCAGTTCCCACTCCCTAATAACAGTAGCTCCACAGCTGCACATCTTAAGTTTTAGCACAGTAATTCCAGCAAGTACACTTTGTAGCTAGCTCGCTGGTCTACAAACAACCATGTAAATAGCAGCTGAGGCTTTCAAGGTGCATCCATAATCTTGTCTGTTCACACCTAGACAATAAACACAGCAGCTGTGTTGCCTTCTGGTTTCAGAGTGATAAACTCATGTGCCATTTTATAAAAGTGGAAAATCACTAGAGGGTGCTGACCAACAAGGACCTTCGTCAGAGACGTGCAAAGTGATTAGGCTGAAGGTGGAATCTGGACTGCATATACATGGAGTTATGGACAGAGAGTCAGCTGTGGTCACAGCTGAGACACTAGATATGCAGCCAGGAAACAAGGAAACTTTCAGTGTAACTCGGGAAAGTAGTTATAACAAAGGTGATGATGTCTAGAAGAAATAATACCAAGAAAAGCCTCAAATCAAATGAAGCCTAGAGGATATTTCATGACATTGAAAGCACAAAAGAAAGAAGCTTGTCCAAACAGAAGGGGATGGCACTTTCTCAACACACAGAAAAGATGTGTTTAACACACAGAAAAGGTGTCTTTAAGCACATAGGACAAGACAGTGGCCAGCACTGCTCCAACTGCTTCACAAAGAAATTCGATGATTTAATGCAGATCTTCCAAATGTTTTAAATTATAGCATACTTAAGTAAATGAGTCTTAGTTTTTCATGCCCTTATATATACAAACACAAAACTGAGTAAGTTTGTTTTGTTTTTGTTTTTGAGACAGGGTCTCACCATGTGCCCTGGAACTTGCTATGTTGACCAGGTTGGCCTTGAACTCACAGATATCCACCTGCCTCTTACTCCTGGGTGCTGGGTTAAAGGTATACATCACCATGAAAGAATTATAAAATTTCCCACTGAGAATAGTCTCAGATCATTTTGTGTGATTTTAATTTGTGTGGTCACTTTCATGGTTTACAATATTGTGCAAATCAAGGATTTGTATTAATTGTATTAATTAATTTTAAATGTCTAATTTGGGTCACATACAGTCCAAGTCATATTAACTCAGGATGTATGAAACCATTGGGTATATGAAAGAAAAAATCTAGTAGAATTGCTATCAGCATTACTATTCACTGCTTTGACCAACTAAATTTTTTAAAAGCAAATTTTTAAATATTTAATATGCCTTGTTAGCTACACTGTTATAGTTCAGGCTACAGATATGGTGACTCAGATACCCTGAGCTTCCCCACTGTGAGCTTAAACCACACAATAGAAGCACTGTATGCTTAGTCCTAGGCACAGAGCAGAGATGGACAGCCTGTTACCTTGGAGGGAGAGGCACTGAACTTGTGCAAACCAGGCAGTTGCTGGTGGATCCTGATTTGTTGCACGTGTTCTTAGAGCGTATACTAAATTCAGGACACTGCTAGCAGTACTAACCTTCAAGCAAATCAATTCTAGTCCTTTCTGCTCCATCCTCAGTGCCACTCTAAGCCTGCTTAGTCCAGAAATGTGGAAGTCAAGTAGGGTCAGGGCATCAGTGAGATGGCTCAGCAGGTTAAGGCGTCTGTCACTGAGCCTGATGACCTGAGTTTGATGCCCAGGACCCATACGGTGGGAGAAGAGAACCAAATCTCTCAAGTTGTCCTCTGACCTCCACCTGCATGGATGTGGGCACACACACACACTAAACACAAAAAAGACAGGATCAGGGGCTGGAGAAATGGCTCAGAGGTAAGAGCATTGGCTGCTCTTGCAGAGGACCTGGGTTTGGTTCCCAGCACTCATGTGGTGGCTAACAACCATCTGGAACTCCAGTTCAGGGGATTCAATGCTCTCTTCTGGCCTCCATGGACATTGCATGCACATACATGTACATTGTGTGTACATACATGAAGGCAAGACACACATAAAATTTAAAATTTTTTAAAAAATTTAAAAGACAGTGTCAGGGCTAGAGAGATGACTCAGTGGTTAACAGCACTGGCTGCTCTTGCAGAAGACATGGGCTTGATTCCCAGCACCCACAAGGCAGTTAAAAACTGTCAAAAACTCCAGTTCCAGGGGATCTGAAGCCTCTTCTGACCTCTGTGAGCATTGCATGACAAAGGTGCACTTACATGCATGCAGGCAATATACTCATACACATAAAAATAATTTAAAAATAAAATATTTAAAAGACAGGGTCAGGATTTCCACTCAGGTGTGAGATGGGACACAGTATATCAAAGTTCAGAAGAATGAACAAACATAAAGATGTTCCTCATTCCTGCATCATGGAAGTGAGAGAATCAATGGGCTGCTGTCTATGGAGCATCTTAAGTTCTTCGGAGCAGTGAACTGAAACCTGGTACTGAGGAAAATGCTCTGCATCTATGCTCTGTGAACACTGAGTCCCCCAAATGTGGCTACCGCCATCAAGGAGCTTAATTTTTCACTGTATTTAATTTTAGCTAATTATACTTTTAAGTATAATTAAGCCTCACAAGGCTACCGTAACAAACTGGTGCTTTAGAGAATGGGCGCCAGCTTTGCTTTTGTTGCCATTAATAGAAAACAAAAGCAGTCTTCAGTGAAGAGACCACAGCTTTACCTTGAGAACCACTCAGTACCAGGCCCAGCTCAGCGCAGATGGCAGCACAGGTAATCTCATAGTCATGGCCTGTGAGGATGGCCCGAGGAGTGCTGGTCTCACCTAGAGAGAGAAGAAAAGAGGCAAATCGATTCAAGTGCATAAAGATTAAACAACTTGTTCCTGATTCTGATCAATGCCTAAACCTGTATAGTTTGGGAACAAGAACGTGACAAAAAAAGAAAAAAAGAAACTATTTTAGGACTAGATCCAAACTTTCCTATACTTTGAAGTCCATGTGTTTCTGAACTTGAAGGATTTTTTAAATGCAGTTATCTAACAATAATCGTTTAAAGTTCCAAGCTAAAGATGATAAAACCTCTATTCAATGCTGTTTGAGACACTTTCCAAATATAAGAAATGATCCCTTCAATTAGAAAGATGAGTCTAAAAATAGGGACTTGATTGTAATAAACTCACAAATACAAACATAACACAGCTAGGTAACTAGACAAATCAATTCTGAACTATGCCTAAGTCTGTACAGTTTGAGAATCTGTCCAAGAATCCTTACAATAAACTGATTCTTCTTTTAAAGGGACTTGGGCTTAATTTACATTTCCAAGAAAGGTCTCCTCCACCTCCACAGGCCACTGCAGCCCCCATATTAAGACAATCTGAACTAGGATTTTCACCTCCAAGCAGCCTTCCTTTAAATCTCTGTTACCTCATGTATTTTCTGGATACATAAATCTCACATCTCCAGGTATACATCCCTTTGCCTCATTCAAAGAGCAGAGGGAAAAACAACCCCTCTGTGTAAGCCTCTGAAACAGGAGTTCTTCTTAGGGAGTGGGTCAATGAGTTCTTCCAAATTTCTTGCAAAATATGTGCACACTAGTTGGACTCCTTGGGTTATAGATTTTTTAAAAATGGATGACTTAAATTTGGAGAGAATAGGGGCTATATGATAAAGATACATAAATGTATGAAATTTTCAAAGAATAAAAAAATAGGTGCACAGGCCTGTTTTTCTGGGTGGCAAGGAGGGAAATAGGCTTTACTTAAGGTACAGAGATATATGGTCCCCTAAAGGCAAGAGTTCTCTGAAGGAGTCTTCACTTGTGTCTTGTCTAAAGCCAACAGCGACTCAAGGTCTAGTGTGGCACATGACGGGTGTCCTGTGTGCACTGTGGCATGAAGCCCACGGCTGTGTCTCACGGTGCCTCTAATGGCTTCGGTGACTACATATACTTCTGAGTGAGAGTTCAGTCTGTAAGGGATGTGCCACACTGGCTGTATGTTGGGCCCCAGATGCCAGGCTAGCTAACATGCGTAGAGAAGGGAAGACCTCAATTGACAAGCTAACAGGCCAGGGAAGAAGGGGAACAAGGGGCCTGGCTCATTTTATTTCAGGTTTAAAAACACTGGAGTGGTGGCATAGCTACCTAAATTAGAAAGTTTACTTGATATTTCCAGATAAAAAAGAATCTCTCATAGAACTCCTTTTTTCTTACATCCACACATTTGGAAAAAAAAAAATTGACACAAATAATATATTATAAATCTATCAAAGTTTTCCTAAGTTACAAATGATTTTAATGTAGTGAGATTTTTGTTTTAAATTTAAATGGTTTGAGATTCCTCAATGGAAAGTAAAGGTTTGAAGGAAAATAAATGAGAAAAACGAGAGCAATTTACATAGAAGCTGAAATAAACAAAGGACAGACAGGGCCTGTGAAAGGCCAGCAGACGCCCTCAGGTCGGCCTGTCAAGAATATCTGCGCAGGAGCTTAGTGGAAGGTGGAGATGACTCGTAACTGTTTTTCTTTAATTCAAGAATGAATGAGTTGAGCTGTGAATTGTCTAGGATTGTGAAGTCAGAGGGTAAGAGGCTGCAGAAAGCAGGGTAAGCTGTAAGTTTTCTCCTTTCTGAACACAATTTCTGTTTGATTTGCTTACAAAATACAAATGTCCATGAATGCAAAAAATACCAAATTGCTTTCCATTACAAAAATCAGAAGACATATATACATACATATATACATACAAAATAACATCAGGATGAATAAAAGGGTTTTCTTTTCCTGTGGCCTGATCTCTAAATGCGGGGCTGTTCAGTGCTGGACTTGGGCTGCAAAGTTTGGCAAAATGTTTTCTAGTCCAGGAAACAGGTTAGACAGTTCAGGAAATGTGAAGGGGTAGGGAGAGAAACACAACAAATTAAAAGCATAAGGTAGAGTGAGCATCTTCTCAGGTAGCTGGTTTTACAAATACTCATTAGATCTACAGTAAAAAACAAAAACAGAAGCAAAAAACCCAACTGTGCTCAACTTGCCTTGTGTAGGGAACCCCTAAATTCAACAATACGTGAAAAGAAAAGCCATCTGCAGCTTCCTTATCTGCAGTGCTGATGGAGCGTTCTTCACACTTTCTCCTTATGCTCAAAATAAAAACCAACTGGATCTTTGGAAGTTCCAGCAAACCAAGAGCTTTAAATATTAAAATTTCACTATTACCAATATAATTCTACAATATGGGCTTGAACCAAGCAAACTGCTTGAGCTCAGCAGACATTCTGGGAATCACTTGAAATGAAATTAAGGACAGAGGAGATCATTGGAGACAGAACGCAGGTTCTCTATGGGGCTCATTTTATTTCTCTGACTCTAAATATGTCACCCTGGCTCACAGAGAAGCTGGGTGATAGCATCACACAGAAAAATGCAAGGCCTCGTCGCATCTGAGTGTAGAAAGCCCAGAGCAACGGGCTTTGGTGGCCGCCCTCCCCCTGCTTCTCCTGGCCACTTCCTGGCACACCAGCATGACTCAGGGCCATGAGCACAAGCAAGATGATGCTGGCCATACATTCCTTTTTAGACTCCAAAGCCATCACCAATCTCTCACTGGAGTTTTTCAACTAAATAATGAGCAGGAAAGCCTTCTGAAAAATACCAGGTTAAATCTTTTGATAAAAATGTTCAGCTGTTAATAGATGCTAACGGTTTGTGCCTTTGCTTTCTCGATAGCACGAGCTAGGACCTCACCAAAGCAGAACAGAGTCCCTTAAGAACCTTTTCAAGTCTTACTGCTTGAAAAATCATCATGGTTTTCAATAATGCTGGGAGAAAAATGTATCTTGTTGGTAGTTTTAAGAAGTTCCACTTCAAACTTCTTAAAGAAAAAGAGAAGGACAGACTTCTAGGACTGCTTTGAAAAGCTCAAGCAATTACTTCAAAGGAAAGGGGTCTTTCTATGAGGGAAGGGTTATGAGCACTGATGCAGATCCTACCAAAAGCTGAAAAGGAGACTCAGTGTATCTTTAGTGATGATGGTCTTAGAGGAAGATGAACAGGTCAGATGAGACTAAAGATAGCTCAAAGCTTGCCAGAGATCCCAGACAGTTTTTACAGGTTTGTTTTGTTTTTTAACAGTTTATAGCAGTGAACTATCAGTACTAACTTACAGACTCTTAACAACCCAACTTGCATTTAAACAGCTAAGAGCGCCATAATACCCACCCTGTTGTTAGCTTATATACTGGTCCTGCACTTCAACATATTAGAATTATTATAACACCACTGGATGGAAAATAAATGTTTTCATTAAATGTGTTTCTTTGGCACCCTCATAATATGTTTCTTTATCAAATGGACTCTAAACCTTAAAATTTTCTATCTAAAAGAATAAAGGTAATTCCTCTACTATCTTGCTTATAAATATCAAATGAGAAAGATAATTTTTCAGGTCTATTTACATTAAAGTAAAGGAGAAAAATAATCCATGTAAAAATATACTAGACATATTTTTTGGCAAACTTTTAGCTCTTTAAAAAAAATGAAAGACGTTCTTGATATCTCTGGTATCATCACCTCAGTCTTATGAAAATTATATCATTTCAAAATTTACTATACAGTTCTCATTAGCAACTTAATATTATTAGCAGAGCAAGTCATTGTAGTTCACTATTTCAAGAATATCTATTATCTATTATGAAATGAAACAAGCTCTACATTTTCCTTTTTTTTTTTTTTTGTCTGTTTGAGACAGGGTCTTCCTGTAGCCCCAGCTGACCTGGAACTTGCTATGAAGATCAGGCTGGCCTTCAACTCACAGATCTGCCTGCTTGTGTCTGCAGAACACTGTGCTGGGATTAAAGGTGTGAAAATAACTTGATTTAAAGTGGTCAGTGGTATCTGAGGGTACAGCTCAGTGGTACAGTGCTTACTTGTGTAAGGCCCAGGGATCAATGCCCAGCACCACAAAATCAGAAATTAACTGGTCATTAAATCCACTTTCGTTTATCTTACTGTAAACCTGCAAATTATGATTTTAAAGATCAAAAATACTGTACTGAAACCCAAGCTGCTTATTATAACTACTTTATATGCAAAACCCAACATTTAACATGAAAGTCTTTAAGTAAACAAAACTGGTAAAATTTTCCACATCAGTAAAATCTAGTATATCTAAAGAAAACAAAAACCAAAAATGAAACTTGATTTGCTTTAAAAAATCAATAGGGGTGACTTTGAAATTACATGTTTGCTAAAAAACTACACAAGTTCTGAAGTACAAAGAGACTTAAAACAAACAAAGCTAAATATTGTGCAAGATATGTAAGCCATTTCCTGAAGACAAATATTTCTATTTACACATACTGTTTGTTGTAATAATTACACTTGATTGATACAAATTGTTCATGTGAAAAGCAAATAGTTTTCTCGTGTGGCTCACCGTAATGCTAAATCAAGAACGGAAATGGCTTTTTGCTGATAAATTTTTTCCTGATAAATGCTTCCTAAGCCTTTTTCCATTAGCCTTCTAATTTTTCCGATGGGAATTCTACCTTTTAATTATGCAGAAACAAATTATTTGACGTTTGTACTATTCATTCCATCTCCACTGTCCTCTTCCCCTGCATCCATCAACTTCTTTTTAAAAAAATATTTTATTTATTATTTTTATTTTATGTGTATGCGTGTACTGCCTGCATGTAGGTAAGTGCACCCGTGTCGTGCAATGCCTGTGGAGGACAGAAGAGGCTGTCGGATCCCCTGGGACTGGAGTTATGGACAGTTGTTAGCTGCCATGTGGGTGCTGGGATTCGAACCCGGGTCTTC